TATATATTTTAAAATAATATTAACGAGAGAGCACATTGAGAATTAATGAAAAATTATCAATGTGCGATTGCATCAGTCACTATTTTTGACACAAGACGAAGTAATAAGAAGACCTTATTTGTCTAAGTCGTGTAGTGTCGTATTTGTGCTACACATTTCAGACAATCTGGTCACGCATGGACTTGTCACAGGAATACATATGAAATTAATACATTTGAGAGGTAAGATATATATATATAACAATTCAGTATATACAATATGAACATATGTACAAAATCACACACCAAACACATTGGACTGCTCATTGATACGCTACCCCATGAAGAACTGTAGGACTTACAGCAGTACGCCTACAACCTTTCTCAGGTTGACGCTCTAACTTGGAAAATCGTCGCAGAGTTCATTTGCTAACTTCCTTCTATCAGCCATATCCTCAAATCTGAACGGTAACACGCTCATGTCATTGTATCGTAGAATATAGATGACGAACAAACACACGAAGTATCTGGTCAACCAAGCGTAGACACAGAGTAATTTACACCAAAGATAATAGCATTCAAATAGAAATTTGATACTTGAAAAACCTTTATTCATGCGAGTCAATTTAACAACAATCCTCTGGCACACACTTGGCTTATTTTCACTAAACTGAGCAATATCTTTCGTCTTTTCAAATACACAACTACTATCAAAACCATTGAACAAGATATCACGAACAAACATAGGACGTATGTCAATCAAGTCTCATAAACCGTTAATGCCCAGCTCTCGCTACGCTCGGGCCAACGCTGTTCCTTGAAGTTTCAGAAACGCTTAGTTATAACGGACGAAAAAACCAAAACACCGATCTGCCGCTTGAGATTTCTTTATTGTTACACCAACATATGAAAATTATAACTGAACTAAGGTCTGTAAACAAATATTACAATAATAAATCATAGTATTACTTCTGACGATGTTTCACTCTTCTTTCTGAACAGCGACCGATGAGACGATGACTGTCGTATTGATGCCTCCGCGAAAATTGGGGAAGTTGATTTTGAGAAAACAACCAAGAATTGATCGTTCAATCTTCAACTCCATTGACATCGTATCTGGTCAACCAAGCGTAGAAACAGAGTAATTTACACCAAAGCTATTAGCATTCAAATAGTAACTTGAAACTAGAAATGCCTTTATTCATGCAAGTCAGTTTAGCAATTACCCTCTGGTACACACTTGGCTTATTTTCACTAAACTGAGCAATATCTTTCGTCTTTTCAAATGCACCAATACTATCAAAATCATTGCACAAGATACTTGAGTTGATGGGCGCCTTTTCCATTGTGGATGACAGCACCAACGACGACTGATCGATACCAGTTGATGAAGTTAGCGGTGGATCAGAAGCTGGTGTTGCTCGGCTTTCAGAATATTTTCTAACTGCAACATTACCACCACTGTTGTCTTTCACTACTAGTTCGGGTTTAGCACTATCATCTGATGATAGGTGGGCTACACACCGATCAATTACGCTGACTGACTCACAAGTGTGCACACCTTCTGGAACTGCATCTGCGTCCAATTCTACTTCACGCTGTAGTTGTACAGAACTTTTCTTTAACTTAGCAGTAGTAGGCATTCCCCTCATTTCATCATGATCAACCAAAGACAAATGTGACCTGTCATGATCATTATCACGAATATTCACTTTACCGTCAACTTCATCATTTTCAAACTCTTTGTTAACAGAATTAGACAATTTTGGTTTTATATCTTCACTCTGACCAGTAATACCTTGTAAACTTGTGGAGTCAGAACCGCACTCTGAAGCGGTAACTCTATTCTGTGACACTCTATTCAACAATGGCTTACCAGTTGCAACTACAGACTTCTTGACTGCACCGTTATCGTCACACCATTCGGAGTCAGGCCTGGAGTTTACATTTAGCTTATCACTGAAATTGCTCACTGGTTCACAGTTCACCTTTGTATGCACCTCTTGAAAACGTGTAAAACACAACCGTGTTTGTCTTGCATCTTGTAACTTACCTGTTGAGGATGTACTACGAAACCTGTTACACTCACTAGGTCTATATGCATTACTGGACATCATGGTGCCTTCTCGATATCCACCTCTCTGAGGCCTACTCGTCATCAATGATTGAATTTTACCATCAGACTGCTCTATTCTAGGGGTGAGATTCAATATACTGGCAAACTTGCTCATAGATTGATTGACACTATCTTTTACTAGTTTCAGGATATCATCAAATTTTGGATCGATATCCTCTTCCTCCATACGAGAGCTTATCTTCACCCACTTCCTTTGCAGTCGAGTAGGTAGGCGTCTCGCAATTACCTCTAGGACTGCGCTGGAGTTGAGGTCACTCATGCAATTCATAGAAATCAAGGTATTCTTATAAGTCATAAGATTATCGAAAAACTCAGAGAGTGCCTTGGAGTCAGCTGGAAGTTGGCTGCCGTTACCTTTGACAGATTCGTATACGTTCCTTACAATCATTGAAGGTCTTCCAAACCTTTGACGTAATATGCTCATAGCCTCAGCGTATCCGTCATTAGGGGGCATGAGCTTACAGCACTGTATAGCTCTTGAAGCGACTCCAGTGCAATACCTCATCAAATACATCAATTTCAATTCATCACTTAATAAAAAACTACTCAGCATAATCTCAAACTCCTTTACAAATTGTAAATAATCAGCTGGGTTTCCATCAAAACACCGTGGTTCTAATTTAGGGAGTTTGATGTTCCTATTATCCCTGAACGGCGAAACATTAACATCAGGCATGTTATTTGTCAATGCATTTGATGATTGAACGATGAATTTATGATTTTTTGATCAAAACCAACTTCCCGAATTTTCGCGGAGGTATCAATCAGCCAGCCATCTTCTCATCAGTCGCTGTTCATAAATAAGTCAGTATACAACTGTCAGAACTAATATTGTTTTTCATTATTGTAATATTTGTTTACAGACCTTGGTTGTAACAGTGTTTTTATGTTGGTGTCAGAATAAAGTATCCTCGAGTCTCCAATTGGTGTTTTGGTTTTTGCGCCCGTTTTAACTAAGTGTTTCTGAGAATCTTCAAGGAACAGCGTGAGCCCGAGTGCATCAAGAGCTGACCATTAACGGTTTACGAGAGGTGGCTGACAGATTCTTACAATGAAGTCAGCTTTCGACGGTTTTGGATAGTTGGTGACAGTTTGGATAGTCGCCGTTCATTTTTGCTGGTGCCGGTCAAGTCCTCTTTGAACAAGCAATATCTGGAACTTTTTTGGAATTGGGTCAAGTTGAACAATGCCTGGGTCAAAGAAGGGACAGAGTGTCTTGGATGCAAACAGGAAAGTAAGTCATGGTGACTTGTCTGTTAATTGTAACGATGTGTCTGATGTTAAGCATGACATGGTTGATGTTACTGTTTCGCCGTTCAGGGATAATAGGAACATCAAACTCCCTAAATTAGAACCACGGTGTTTTGATGGAAACCCAGCTGATTATTTACAATTTGTAAAGGAGTTTGAGATTATGCTGAGTAGTTTTTTATTAAGTGATGAATTGAAATTGATGTATTTGATGAGGTATTGCACTGGAGTCGCTTCAAGAGCTATACAGTGCTGTAAGCTCATGCCCCCTAATGACGGATACGCTGAGGCTATGAGCATATTACGTCAAAGGTTTGGAAGACCTTCAATGATTGTAAGGAACGTATACGAATCTGTCAAAGGTAACGGCAGCCAACTTCCAGCTGACTCCAAGGCACTCTCTGAGTTTTTCGATAATCTTATGACTTATAAGAATACCTTGATTTCTATGAATTGCATGAGTGACCTTAACTTCAGCGCAGTCCTAGAGGTAATTGCGAGACGCCTACCTACTCGACTGCAAAGGAAGTGGGTGAAGATAAGCTCTCGTATGGAGGAAGAGGATATCGATCCAAAATTTGATGATATCCTGAAACTAGTAAAAGATAGTGTCAATCAATCTATGAGCAAGTTTGCCAGTATATTGAATCTCACCCCTAGAATAGAGCAGTCTGATGGTAAAATTCAATCATTGATGACGAGTAGGCCTCAGAGAGGTGGATATCGAGAAGGCTCCATGTATCCTTTTCATGACCAGAAACATTTAAAGCAACTGTGAACAATTTAATTTTGATAACATGAGCTTGACGATGCCCAAATTAAATGAATCAAACTTTGCTGAATCAGGTTTTAATGTCATTGCATTCATCAATCATAACCTCGCCGTTTCCAGAAACAGACAATCCGTCCTCGCGTTTAGATCTAGATGGCTAGCACTTGCTAAACACTTCAGCAATACTCCTTAGGATTTCTTCGGTCTTAGTTTTCTCTTCTGACAGAATCGAAACCGTCAGGGACTACCGCCGTTCCGTCAGAAACTTACTCCACCGTCAGAATCTGTCAGCCACGTCTCATAAACCATTAATGCCCAGCTCTTGCTACTCTGGGACTCACACTGTTCCTCGAAGCTTCTGAGAAACGCTTAGTACGAACGGACGCAAAAATCAGAACCCAGTTTGGTGACTCGAGAATTATTTATTCTAACACCAACATATAGCCAATGTACAACTAAGGTCTATGAACAAATATTACAATAATAAACCACGATATTACTTCTGATGGTTTACTGCTGACTTCTTTCTGAACAGCGACCGATGAGACGATGGCTGGCTGATTGATGCCTCCGCGAAAATTGGGGAAGTTGGTTTTGAGCAAACAACCGTGAATTGATCGTTCAATTTTCAACTAAACTGACACCAGCAGTACTCACTTCGGAGTGATCCACATCTGCAACTCTCCTGTGGCTGGATAAACTACGGAATAGCCGAAGACCAGGATACTTTATCTCACAATCAAGAAGTGGGCAAAGAGAAATCAAAGTGGTTCAGAATAGCTCGTCTCTACGATATCGGATATCGGTTACAGTACAGAATACTGTTCTGCTTCGGTGGTTGTTTAAACTTATCAATAGGTCTAAATTTTATGGCGCAGTAGTCTACCTATGTCAAATGAACTCTCTTCGGTCAGTTGTTCAGCATCGCAATTTTATGTGCCCACAGAGGATAATTCGGGTTTTCATATTTGCAGCACAAAAGATGCTGGCTCACCAAGGAGAAATGTTGCACGCTTTCAACGCCCTACAGCATGTAATGTCTTATAGTTGTATATGATGTTTTTTCGTTTAGTGCTGAGTGAAAGACATAGGTCTGAGTCTCCTGCAACTCGTTCAAAAAGCAGACAAAATGATTTGGCTGCCACTCTGGACCGACAGCATGACAAGTATGTGCCTACATTTGTTCTTTAATTAAGATAGATATGACTTTGAGTCATTGCAGAGAGAAATTACCAAAAGAAGTGGAGTCCTCGTTTTTGGAAACAAAGTACTAAGCTGTTTTCATACTCATTTCATAGGTTTTGCATGCAAAAACAGATGACTTCATCAACGAAGGTTGCTTGGGTTCTGGGACCTGTAGTTCTGTATATAAAATGCGGCACCGTTCAAAACATGATATTGTTATGGCTGTTAAGCAGATGCGTGTGTCATCTACGTATGAAGAAGAAAACAAGCGTATTATGATGGACCTAAACATTGTTACCAAAAGTTTTGATTGTGCTCACATTGTCGAATGCTATGGGATATTTTTTTCTGGAGTAAGTTGATTTTTCTTTTGTCATGCCTCAGGGTGATGTTTGGATATGTATGGAGGTTATGTCAACTTGCTTGGACAAGCTATACCACGATTTGCATCGTCCATTTCCTGAGAAAGTATTGGGGAAAGTGACTGTAGCCGTAAGTTTGGTTGACTACTTTAATCCTTCTAAAGATCACTACTGCTCTAGACTATTTGAAGAGGAAGCACAATGTAATGCACAGAGGTAATAATAAATTTCCACTAAGTTTTAGACGTTAAGCCATCTAATATGCTTTTGAGTTATCAAGGTGTGATCAAACTATGTGATTTTGGAATAAGTGGAATACTCAAAGATTCAATCGCTCGTTCAAGACAACCAGGGTGTACTGGATACATGGCCCCGGAGCGTCTAAACAATTCAACGTATGATGTTCGTGCGGACATATGGTCACTTGGTATATCACTGTTAGAGCTGGCGACGGGATCTTTCCCGTATACTGGAACTCAGATTGAGTTTGCTATTATGACGAAAATCATCTCTGACCCACCACCGTCGTTGCCGCATCATATACCCTTCACACAAGCGTTTCGGCAGTTTGTGGAGTTGTGGTAAGTTGTCTGGCTTTTGAGTAATACCTTAGCTGTGTTTATTTAGTCTGGACAGTAGATTTTAAAGAGTAAAAGTTAATTTAAGACAGTGTAGCGGTCACTATTTTTCGGGTTCAGATGTCGTATTGCATATTTTTCGCTAGACCATATTCGAATTAGTAATCGACGGATTTCCGCTTACTATCGTAATCTTAGTGGATAGCATCAACCATTTAATATAACTCAGTATAGTTTACAGACCATGTATTTCTAGATGTTTTAAGTATTCTGCATTTACCCATCATGCAATCTCAGGTTGAACAGGAAGTTAAAACTGTTCTTGTAACCTAAACCATATTTGCGAAAGCTGTCTGTTTTCCAACGTAATTCACCCGACTGACGGACTGGGTTTCAACATAGAAATCCGCAGGAGAGTGCACTATTTTAAGTTGCCACATTCCTTGTAGCGTACGAAGATAGACATAACAGAGTCAAAGGAACTATATAATACTTAAAATGTGGAGGGAAAAGAATAGTAGCATGAAAAGACATGAAGGTTTCGTGGATCTCGGAGGTTAAAGAGGGCAAATGAATCTGCGATACTAAGAACTTTTTTGAGCTATATCATCAATCGTTTCTTAGTATTCTGAGGACCTCGACTAAACGGTCTACACCTTCCTATATGGCTCAGAATTTTCATGCTTCGATGCCGGATTTCCCTTTCATCATCCCTAATTCCTTTCAGCCCCATCTCATGTTAGCTAACATTGTGGTGGTTGGGCATACGCATCACGTATCCTAGCCGTCTCAATCGATTTGTCTGTAAAACCTGATCGGAAAAGTTAGAGAATGGCGGTCCAAGGGATGCGAACTCACGACTTACCTTGAAGTAGCCAATCAGAATGGTGTTTTTTCAAATGAAAATGCAGTTTATTTACTAGAAAATAACATAGTAAGAATAAAATACCCCAACCCTAGCCGCAACGAGCTATCGACCCGCTATCTAAACAGTATTGAGAATGAGATGGATGAAATTTGCATCTCAATTAGTGCATAGCGTCCATAGCGGCTCTATAGCATTAGTAGGTCCAGTTATCCAACTAACGGTATGCGTTCATGGTCATCGGTGCGTTTGTACTCGCGGATCGCAATTCTTTAACTTGACCACCTCATTGGTTGATATGCTTTACTTCTAATCTCAGTATTACTTATCATGTTAGACCATATAAAATGGTAGGTAGAACGCAAACATCTGTGGTTAAAGACAAATAGCTTTTCCATCCACTTTTAATAGCCATGTCTCAACTATAAAGGAAGATAGTGAGAACTGTTGCACAATACACACGTTCTTTGTTCGATAGGATGATGTTACGTTTATACTGGTGTAAATTGACCAAGTCTCAGGAGTATTTTCTGTCCGAGTTGAGATTCTGTCACCTACCTATTATAGATTAGCGCAGCTTTCCCGTGGTGACATATCGAAGTCTGTTTGGATGATCTCCATTAATATATTTATAATGAAATTAAGCAGGGAGGTTCTCTTTATTGGGAGGAATCGCGAAGTCTGATTGTGTGCAAAAGTTTGTAATCAAAGTACCCTATTTGGACTTATACGGTCATCTAAAAGCTTACTGATAGTCATCTTCTGCGTTGATGAGCTATCAAGAAAAGAGCTTGAGGGAAGACATTAGGGAAATGTAATGTTCAGAATACGGAGCAAAGATCATTCCTGTCAAGCTGAATCCTACTTCTAGGATAGGGAGTAAAGTGGCTGAATACATTCGTTACCTAAATTATTAAGGATGTTGTAATAACCCCCAATGAACCAGTTGCTGATGGAAGCCCAGAACGAATATAAAAGACTTGCCAATGTACCTAATCTCTGTCACTATGAAACTTCCAGGCACCCATCTAAAAGCGTCTTTTGCACTGCATTGGCTTCACCCTACTGTGGAGTGTGGCGACTTGAACTGCTACACATCAGTACAAAGTTCTATGTTGAAACCAGTCAGTCAGTCGTCTTACTGTAAAGCTTTAAGACAATTTCCAAAAGTAGGGAATGTAAAAAGATAGTAACTCTTTGTTCTTATGTGTCTTCTTTCAGTTATTCGTTCTAGGTGGAGCATAATGGTAAATAATATTTAGTTTAGCCGCAGTATTAGATGAGAAAGGCGATTCACTTAATGAGACTATAATGTTAGGAATTGTCTGTCACTGTTTAACTCTGTGATTTTGATGAAGATGACTGTTTAACTTCTTACAAATTGGTTTTGTACCCAGAGGACATCTACTCAAGCCAGGATACAAAGATGATGTGGTCATCTGACTGGTGTTATAACCACCAAGGAAAGTTTGGAAATAGACTCTTGGAATGTTGTTAGATATTATGTAAGACATTATATTACACGGTTTTGATTCTGGAGCTGCCTAGTTTGGTTACAAAAAGCTTCCATTGCTTCGTAGGCTGAATGCTTTTTCCACCTGAAGGATATGAAGGACTGAAATTCTGCGTGGTAGGATGTTGGAGATTCCATGTCTTCACTTAACACGCAGTATTACTGTCATTATTATTACTGTTCACAAAAATGCATTTCTCAATAAGGTATAGAAACCGAATTCTTAAATTAGGAACATAGGTATTAGACTCACTAGGAACCTTATGTAAAGCGTAGTTGGAAAATCTATGCAAATGAATTATAGCTGGGAAGTCTTAAAAAGGTCATATCCCATCTGGAAAGGTAACGTCGCATGTGGGTATCCTAAGTTTAAACTCAAGTGGTTTGTAGAGAAATTATATATATTCTCCTCTCTGAGGTGTACATTTCCCTACAAATAAAAACAAAATATTATTTTTATTGACATCTGCTTATTTAACCCTAATAGGTTTATCAAAGCAATAGGGAATCGGGTATTCTAGACATCTAATTTTATTTATCGTAATCTGGCAGAGTTTCTTGAGGGTCTTATCAAATAACTAAGAAAATAACGAATACGTGCATGTGTGTGTGTCAAATGTAAAATTTGTACTCTCAAATGTATATGTGGGGGTAGTTCGTATCTCACATGTATTGATAAACTCAGTTTGTGGAGGAAAATTGAAACTCCCATAAGTTGTTTTCTACGGATCTTTTGGTATGAGGCAATTTTGATTTCATTTTACGTGAAAAGATTCTGCTATGAAGTGTTCTTTATGCTTTATGAACCCTTTATTGAACAGTTTCAGCTCTACCTTAGTCGGTTTTGCAATCGGCTAATATGGCATTTAGAACTATAGCTGCAAACATTGACAGCATTTTGTGTTCTATTAAGTTTCTTGTATGTCTGATTGATATCCTTCGATTACAAAGATTTTCGTATCTATATACTCTGTTTGATGTTAGGCGGTAAGTACTGTGGAACTCGATGCTCCAAATTAGCTAAGGTGTCCTGTGAATTGTTTGCTGTTCTAAAAGACTCTAGTATTGCACTTATTATGAACCTCCTTCTTTGATCTCATTGAAAGTGACTTGTGTAGAATAATGACTGTCGTAACCCTTTATTTTAGTGTATTCTTTCAGACGCATTTTGTGGTACTTTATATTCCACAGACGAAGCTTCCTAGGTAGCTATTCAACTGAGGGATTTCAGTCACATTTCGTAGTTCCTTCAGTTTTTCATGTCAGTAATAAATGTGTGTCCTCCGCGTTAAAAACTGAAGGTGAAGTGAATCTTCGTACTTATTAGGTGTGTGATGTGTGAAAATCTAAATGTCGTTTGGAGTGCAATATTTTTCTGAAAAACTTCACGTTTAGCTGTTTGTCTTTATTGACAACTAAGTAATATTAGAAAAGTAATTCAATCTTATCTGGTTTCGTTTCTAAATTAAATTTGATATTGGAGTTGTATTGTTACGTGCATCTACGTAAGTGTAATTCATATCATGTTTTGATTACAAATTGGCCGTCGACGTGTCTTATTCAGATTTGTGATTGAGAAAAAAAAACATTTTTTGGAGTTTACGTATCATTAGGATGGTTACGATGTGTAAACTCATTTTAATCCTTCTTGTTTTGTTCATGCAATTTTTCTTTGAATGTGAAATGGTTAACTTCGAAAGGACAATTTAAAAGTTTAGTTATTTCACTGATGTTCAGTTGTATTACTGCATTTCTCTTCCCTTATTTTCTGTGCTTTTTCTTCGCAAAGTTTTGCATGAATTTAGTGCGTATTATTCTGCTAGAGTCAAGTTGGAATGCAAAGAACTGGATTTAACTACTAGGCTACTACTTATTGAAATGTGTTAGTATTCAACAGTATCCCTACTTCAAACACCCGGTTGCCTTTATTAGTGTGAATAAATTAAAAAACGAACATATTTGAAGGATAATACGAGGCCGTTTTATTTCGTGGATTCTGTTCCATTGTGTACATCGTAAACAGAATTTCTGAACATACTTTTTACAGTGGCTTCAAGTTATAGATAGAAAGTGTAAGCAACGTAATTACAAAAATGATGTAATTAGACGAATTATTCAGTGTTAAAAGAGTAACTATTTATAGTATAGTTAGACAAAGGTAAAAGAGTTCAGATTTCGCTTAGAAATAATGAAGGATTAGATACAAAATACAAGACAGAGCAACAGATGGAATTTATGCATATTATGATGGAGAGTTCAGTAGGGTGGGAGTGAATAGTAAAGTAAAATTATAAGATAGACAAAATAATTTAGTAGATTTGGAAATTTAATTGTGAATCCAACTCAGTAGTTGAGAATCAAAACCAAAACTTAGTGGAATCTTATGCAACAGTACAAAATACAAAAGCACGTAGGTAGAATGATTACGGTTACCAGTGCATTTAGTGAGATCAGTCACGCTGTTTTTTGTGTATATAGAAGTTCGGTCTAAGTCTTTTTATAGTAATAGCTTCTTTGAACCAAAATAACCATGACTTTCGTCGTGTATTGATTATTTTGAAAGCCTGTACTATACCCTTATAGAATGGCACCAGTCAATGAAATCCATAATAGTTAGTTTAAGCCAGTCACGTAGGAAGGTGTGGACTGGCTTCCTGGTTGGGGTTCACGGGACGGTAAAAACCAATGACAGTTAGAAACAATCAGTGTTATGACTCAAAATCGTTCTCAATGGCGCAGATGCATCCACTCCTTGTGACTTATGATTTCAAATGAAACTATACCGTTCTTTGTTACTACTATTCCTTTGTCTCACACCTCTGCTTACTGTCTCTTTTGTGCATTACTTCTACTTTCTTCTTTTGCTTTGTGTGTTACAAGGAGGGAGTGTAGCGACTTGAACTGCCGCATATCGGTGCAAAGTCCTATGTCGAAAACAGGCAGATAGACCACTCGAGCGATGACCTAGCGCGAGATGTCATTCAGCCATCTCCTCAGAGTGCGCCTAATCCATCTCCGTTTCCTTCGGTACATTTGTTGTGCAATTGATTCTTGGTTGGTTCACTACTACAGCTTCTTGTTGCTACTTCTTTCTGGCCGACCATTTCATCATCAATATGGAGCGAAGGCTGCTGTTGATAAAAGTCTGCGTAATATGTAAACATAAAGATTGCACATCGCCTACATCAACAGGCAATGTTAGCTGACATAGGATTAGACTGAAAAAGAGCTAGCAGTGGTCAAACCAAAACTTACAATCAGTCTATGAAATCTTTAACAGCTAGTCGAGTCAGTCGAGTAGACAGGTGTAGATTGCTTGGTTGTGGTCCCCATGATTCTAAGAACCAGTAGCTGGAAATAATTGGTGACGTAGCTCAAAATCGTCCTCACTGGTGCCGATGTACTCAGTCTTCGTTATTTTCCATACCCAGTAAAACCCTATTGCTATGTTGAATCCAGTCAGTCGGTCAGTCAAAGATTACGAACGGACGATATCCTGCGTGAGACGTTTTTGCGAACACTGTACTTAATATGATCGCTCGTCTTCAGGATTTTGTTTGCTTGTGAAACATTGATTCTTTATGCTTTCTAAGAGTAAAATTAAAATTCCAATAGATTAGCGATTTTCTGTGTAATTTTTCACACTGTCTTTCCTGAATAGTGTTTCACAAGCTTAGTTCCATTCATAAATTCAATTAATTACAAAAATATGCTAATTAAGAACAATTAGAGAAAGTTTTAAACTGACTAGGTTAATTTTTGTGTTGATGACAACTAAGGAATGCTTTTAAAAAAATCTCAACATAATTTTATACTTCATTATTTTCACTTTTAATTGCAGTTTGACAAAGGATCACACTCAGCGTCCGAAATATCGCTCATTAATGAGTACAGAATTTTTTGTTCGATATAACAGAGAACCACATCATGTGTTAGAATGGCTCAAAGCACTTCCGTTGCCACATCTACATCATACGGATGAGACAAATACAAATAGCATTTGGGATCGCAAAACTCCAACAAGCATTATGTCAGCTACCAACAATCTAACAGATACACCTGAATCTCCTGATTCCTTAACTACTCTTAGCCCAGATGTCTCCCGAGGATTGAGTAGTATGTCGTTGAATGAATTTTGTGAGTCGAGGAAAGCCTCCAGGGAAGAAATAAACAGGCCAAATGAAATAGATGTTACTTTAGTTGCAGCACCTATGGTGAATACAAATGCTGATATTCATTCACAATTTATTGTTGATAAACCGTCGATAAATTTTAGTCAGTTTGAAAATGGAACTGTTCCAACTACTACTTCATCGACAATCAGTACTGAACAGTTTCCCGCCAAATCGATTATCACCACTTCTCCTAATAGTCAAAACACAATGATGGAACAAAGCTCAGGAAATTTTATTCACTTACTAGAAAGCAAGGCTAATAAGTTCCTGTCTCAGACTTCATCGGGTTATGGGTCTGCTGGTTCTGATAGTTCTCCAGGGTCTCTTGGAAGCGATAGTCGACCACCAAGTTCCACTCAAGTTCTTGATGTGGTAGTGTCTAATAGGAATGTTAATGGAATGCCTCCTCTACCGACGGTTCAACGCTGTAAACCTGCTTGTGTTGTCCGAGTCAATAAATCTGATAAATATTCTCTCAGTACACCAGAAAATAATGTTGATTGCTCTAAGATACCAGTCCGTCCAATCGTCTCAGACCCACTACCCAATCACCCTGTTTGTCAGAAGACTCCACAGTCAGTGCTGGGATCTGATCAATGGAGCACTCTGTCTTTATCCTCCAGAACAACTCATATTAATACATCTCATCCTGTTATGGAAACTTTAACGCATAGTCCGTTGTCATCCCTTATTGAGAAATTCGAACCTAGTGTTGTAGGCGCTAATAGTCTAGATGCTAGTAGTAGCCCTAGTGAAAAGTATAAGAATTCAAAGCAAATAGTTTCTTCAGGGGTTGATCATGAAAAAAGAGCTAAACCCTTCGATTTTCCTGAAATTGCATTGGGATCTAGTCGTACCAAGTGTGAAGATACTAATAAACGAAAAGTAGCTGGTCAAACGCGTTCTTCTTCTGTCGGTGCTCAGCTGCAACGTTCTCCCGCTCAGAGATGGTTGGTGAAACCAACATCTATTAGTCGAAATCCACAGTCTGATCAAACTTCCGTTTGTGTACAAAATGGTAATATTACGCCTACACGTCGTTCTCCGATAATTCCCAGTACTGCTTCACCTTTGCAGCAGTCGAACTGTGATGGTGTTATCGGTAAAAGTACATCTCCACAACAATATCATCATCATTATTTCTATTATTATTATGACAACAGTCTGGAGTCTAACAATCCTATCGAAGTGTCTAATAATACATCATGGATGACCAGAGAAAATGCTGGTACACTTGGAAGGAATCTGGCATCCTCTTTTACCACATCAAGTGTTAACTCAGTAGTTAATAATTCTTTGCCTACTCGCGATGTATCACCATTCCTTTCAGGTAGAATGTGTCAACGCTTAAATACTCATCCTGTCCCAAAACAAAACTATCTACAACAATGTTCATCTGCATCTAATAAAGTTGTGCTAAGTCCACCTTATTATCATTCTGGTTTAATATCATCACGTTTACCTTTATTACCTCCACCATCATCATCTACAAGTCAAATAATGTCGAAAGAATCACGTGCACGATGTCCTAGACAAAATCCTTCATTATCTGTACTTAACACTGCCGTGTCAAAGGATATTCCCCTAAAAAGTAACGGAGGAGGTAAACATCCTCCTAAACTGACCTACCGATCAATATCACAACCGCCTAAATCACGAAATTGGTTATCCTTTGAAACAGAATTATGAGATGCTGTGTGTACACACCTCATGATGTGGGGGTGGGGGAGGATATATTTTAATGCATATCATCATCAGAACAAACCAAAACTATGTTTTACATACTGTGAAATATAAACAACCAACCAACCATACACCGATGTCTTTCAATGCTTTTTTTTATAAAGCATTTCTTCACTTATATAAAGTGGGTTGTTTTTCTTTTTTTTTTGTGCAAATTTTTTCAATGCTCTCACTTCACTTATATAATATATAATTTCTAGTCTTTCTCTATGCATCACAAAACTCGACGTAACTTGTAATATTTATTTACTATTATTTTTTGTTGTCGCTAATTGTGGTCAGTGGTAATTAATTCAACAGTTAGGCTGTTTCTACTCTGTACATACTATACTGTAAATTATTAATACTGACGCCGACTTGTAAAATGATGTAAAAGATGTTCATCTCCAAATGAATGAATGATGACGACGCTGTTGCATTCTCAGAGAGTGCACTAATATATGAACATATTCTTGTTTATTCAATGCTAATGAAATGGTCTCATTCCTTTTTGTTTCTAGGTCAACTTCCTAATATGTAATTGTATCTTTCTCTTTTCTTTCTTTTTTAAAATGTGTTGTTGCTGGGGCGGGGGTCTTGAATTTTGAATGGTTTTTCAGAAAAAGTTAGTCATCTTCCACACAATAATAATAATAATGTTAGGTTTCTGTCAATAAAAATAAACAAACTAATTTTGAAGATTTGTACTACATTTGTCTTTGACTCACCTCTTCAATGTATTGTGGAATGTAATATCGGCCGGCTGTGAAAGTTAGTTAGTTGGGTGTGAGATTGCATTTTCATCCTAAACGTGTATATATGGGAAATATCTTGGTAATAATGGGAAACAAAATTAACAACTATTCTGCGGTAGTTTAGTATTATTTAGTCTGCTTGTCACAATTCAGTTGGTAGTATTGATTGTTTATATATATATATATATATATATATATATATATATATATATATATATATATATATATATATATACAGCTCACGTATTTAGCACAGTCTCGAAAAAATGAGATCCGTTTCAGTAGGATTTCGCATCTAGTCTTTGGATTTTGTGGATATTATTGCTAATTGACATTTAGATAGAGGACCGTTTGAAAACCAGTGAGTACTGGGGAGCTGTTTCTCCCAAGGTTGGGATTCGAAGCCAATACAATACCCTCTGGTTACAAGGCGAGCTCACGGATCATTTACCCACTGGGACTCGATCCAGTGGGACGTAGCCCATGAATTCCAACTTCTGCCAATTCGGGATATACAGCGCAGTTGCTAGTCAATATAATCGGCAAGTAAGTGTTCTCTTACCTGATTTGGTGGACAGACTCCACTGGTGGAAACTTCTGACTAGGACTCCAGATTATGGATAAGACTTTATTTTTATAAATCACAGTGCTGTGCAGTAATATTAACTGATGACGTTTCGAGCATAAACTATTGCTCATAATCATATCAAGTTACACAACTTTTCTCCTTCATTTATATACATGTGTGGAGTTGACTAGATATGTGACTAAAAATCAATATAGGATAATGTACATTCAGAAATAGCAATATGAGTGTTATTGACCGATTACAATCAGATGGGAAATAAGACGAGTGTTTTTCTAGTTATAATAAGTTATTTGTTAGAATGTTATAATGTACGTGAATTAAAATAGAATTTTAGGATTATTTATTATCCTCCTCTGATTTGACTGACTGGTGGTAATAATATCTTCCATATTTCTGGTATTTGCATTGAGTCATTTCTGTTGCATGTGTTGGGTGTAGACTCGATGAACCAGGATTCAGTAATCAACCTCTCTCTCCACCTACCTATATTACTTTTTAGAATTTTAACCCTATCCCATTCTATTGTGTGGTTTGTTAATGCATGTATTGCAATTGTTGAGATTTTTTCTAAATTACTCATCTTTTCAGGGTCAGCCATTCTTACCTTAGGTAACTTCTGATAATCTGACTACCCCCGACCTAGTAGTTTGACCTATGTGATTGACCTCACAGTCATTGCAAAAAGTTGTATGAGTAACTTGATATTATTATGAGCAATAGTTTGTGCTCGAAACATCATCAGTTAATATTACTGTATAACACAGTGTGATTTATCAAAATAAAATCTTATCTATAATGGAGTTATACTCTACCACAGTGCCCAAGTTTTATACTTATATCAATATAACTCCAGATGATTGGTTGTATTAGGGATCACGAGCTCTGCTGAGAGTCTTATTGTAGAAGATCAAACATCCTTAGAAAATTAATAAGATGAATGGAACATTTTTCTAGCAAAGTTATACTTTCGAAAATAATGCCCACAATACTGTACTTTACTTGGGGAGCATGTGGACGAAGAAAACAGAAAAGTAGTCTTAACGAACTGTTATATATATCTTATAAGATGAATTGTCTTCTAAATTCTATTCGTATGTACTTTATACTCCATCTTTAATTAGAGTATCCTGCATGGATAGAGAATGAAGTGGTTCAGTCTGTGAACTCCTTTTATAATTGTATGAGATGTTTTTAGTAGCTTTTATGACGTGATATCTTGATTAGTGTGGATTTTACGCTAAACCCACAGAAACTATGTAACAAAAGAAGACAAGGGCCAGGCAACAGATCGTTTATTAGGGAAATCAACACGTATTTATATATTTCCATGTACATTATTATGGATTATTGTTAGTAGAAAAACGCAGTCTTCTGATTGGTTGTTTCTCACAGAAAGTTGACCTTGCATCTCTTTGTGACTGTTTCTTGAATGTCAGATCATCTATATGTTAAGTGTGTCTGTCTACGTAAAGTCTGCTGTGATTGGTTGTTGAATCAGTCTTGTTCATATTTTCTCACGACCAATATTTGGGTCATAAACATTGGCGTAAATAATTGTCTACTAATTTGGCTAGCAGCCTGCTCTCACCACAACTACATATATAATTTTATTGTGGGTGGGTGGTAATAAGCGTGTCGCAGAAGTGACTGGAAAGTAATGAATTGGTACTGACACCCCAGTGGTAGGTATAGACATATCTGAAACGAGGTTTCTTATCTCTTGAATCTCAACGTTCAAGCTGCACAAAAATTAACACTACCAAAATATTGCTTGCCTTAGCAACTAGACCTATACTAATAAAAAAAACAAGAGAAGTAGTCCAGCGAAGAGGCTCTTTTTGGCGAATGCAACTTCCTCTTTAGCTATACAGTAGCATTTATGTATATAAACCATTGGTTTCCTGGTTAGTCGCTTCAAGCTCTGTAGTGCGTTCGCATTCCATGGATTGCTATATTTTAACTTTACCGCTACGTGTTGCCTCGAATTATTCATATAGATCCCACTTTCAGGTGAATCTAACAGATCTGTGCGTCGGTGGCACAGTGGTTAGGACTCTGGCCGACCATGCACATGGTCCGAGGTTCAATCCCCTGCCGACGGACACCTGATATCTATTGTCGGCCTGCGAAATTCGGGCTACCGGTATCCATGCTGAAAATTCCATACTTGTACCAAAATTACGGTGTGGAATCAAACTGCAATCAAAAATATAAAAAAATAAAATAAAAGTCTTTTTGATATTCAAGTGTTGGTTTGTAGGGATTTGATTGGTTTCAGGATTTCATGAGCTGACATTAGTTAGAGAACCATTGGAAAACCAACTGGGAGTACTGGATAGCTGTTTCATCCTAGTTTGGGACTCTTCAGCAGTACGCATCCACGGGAATTCGAACCCAGGAAACTCCATCCTATAGCAAGTCACTAGCGATCATCAGATTAACTTGCTACAGGTTGGAGTTTCCTGAGTTCTAGTGAGAAGTCGTGACCAGTGAGGTCCAATTAGATGTCACGTGTGTGGATGGATGTCCCACCAACGACAATGGTTGGGGTCGCGCTAAATCACGAATTGGTAGAAGTTAGAATTCACGAGTCATTGAATCGGGTCCCAGTGGCTGAATGGTATACGAGCTTGCCTTGTAACCGGAAGGTCCTGGGTTCGAATCCAGGTGGTGGGTGCGTACTTCCGATGATTCCCAAACTAGGATGAAACAACTGGCTGTCCAGTACTCCCTGGTTTTGAATGCTTCTCTAACTGATATCAATCCGTGATCAACTCGTAAAACACAACTAATCCTTACAAACCAAACTATAGAAAATATCTTTATGTTTTTAGGCACTTTAAAAGCTATTTCTGATTGCTTAATATTTTGGATTAGATAGGGTTATTTGACCAAGTCTAACAGTTTAACAATCTTTTTTGGTGCAATACAATTAAGTATATCTTATTTTTTTTTTACCGAGTATCAATATTATTTGACTTTTATTGGAATTTCCCATAACGTTTCAGAAACATATTTTAACTTCACAGCTTTGCTGACCACCTATCTTTTGATTCATGTCACCACCTAGGTGTTTTGAAAAGAACACTACCTAAGATACTTAATTAAATCCCTTGTCATTCCCATCCCACGTATCTACAGTCCTCATGCCCTGAAAGCAGAACTCGATCTTCCTCCGAAATGGATACTCACCAAGATTTATTGACAAGAATTTCAAACGAAAAGTTAAGAAAAAGGAAGCATTACTTGTTCCAAAAAAAGAAACTTCACATGAACTTGGGTTTTAAGAAAGACTTAACCTCCGGTTACCCTTAAGAGAAGAATTTCGTCATCTTTGAGAAGAACCTCATTCACAGCAACCCTCAGAGTAGTATTCTGCAGTCGTCCATTGGTCTGCAGATGCCGTACCGTGGATTTAATAAATAAATAAATGTATGTAAAAAAATTAAAACTTGGAAGACATTTCCCCTTAAAATTTCATATCCTGTATTCTATTCACAAATGAATTGTCGTCTTTTAAAACGCACAGATATTCAACTAGAGTGAATGTAATTCTGTGAAACTAAAGTAAAGTAACTTTTGACAATGTTGTAAATGCATTAAGAAAAAATGTCATATGTTACGCGGTAGTAGTAGTACTTTTTAGATGGGGGCAAGCAAATATCCTCTTTTTGTTTTGTCTTTTTTACACTTACAATGTATCCAGAATCCAATTTTATAATGCTTTGAATTTTATTATTGACGCCTTAGATAAAGCACATATATATGTACATATATATATATATATATATATATATATATATATATATATATATATATATATATATATATACTTGCCAAGATAATTTTCTCTAGTCGTATGTGAGTGATTTATGACGGTGTGAAATGTTACTTACTGTAAGTAAGACGCTGCTGCCCCTTAGCTCGCACATTCACTATTGTCAACCTACCTATACTGTCTGTTTTGCCTATTGATATTTTCAAGGCTTCTAGACTTGTTTTTCGTCTACTTCTTTTTCTTCTTATGGCATTTGTATAAATGTCAATAGCTGCTGTATGTGTGCGTGCGTGCGTGCTTTACTTACAAGGTACAATACTTGATAATAAAAACTAAGCTACTTTTGTCAGTGTCCATATAAAGTCCAGTGTGCTGTGATAGCTATACACAAAAAAGTAACTTGGCGAGAGAGAACAAACTAGTACAACACATTAAATATTTCATTTGTTTTATTTCAAAAACACAGTATTTATGATACAGTGTACAGTTCTCAGCATTTGGTACAATACTGTTGCATCTAATTTACTCAACAATAAAAAGGACATTACAGGGTATATATGTAGCCAGGATTGATTGATAGCAGGTTTTTGGTGTTTACACTATTTACAATAAAGTCAAAAATGTACAAAAGGTGCAAAATAATGATTTGTAAGACAGTTGAAATAGTTTCACCATAAATAAAAAAGAGCCAATTACTTTTGCTAACTACTTAGAGTCAGTCGTAGGTTTTATGTTTAACACTATCTGTGTCAGATAGGGTAGCTTTGATATTC